AGCTCCCTTTCTAAGGATGAAATTCTTCAAAATCATTTGTTAATTTTCAATATTTTTTTAATACTCCCAACAATCAAATTGAATTTGAAACATCATACTAATACTGGATTCCTTAACTACAAAAAAATTATTTAAAAAAAAAAGATACATAGCAGGCTCCAGTGAATGTTCGAACAAGCTTCTTTCTTTACTCCTCACTAAGATATTAAACTAGAAAAGGAGAAGCCTCAGGAGTACTGTGCAACAATATTTTCAAGAAGTGGTTTGAATCAGATGTGGATACTGAAAGCTCCAAGGAACTTTTAGAAAATTTGAAATCATAAAATTTTACCAAATCAATAACATCAAATCGAACGACTTTTCAAGACTTTATATAACAATTCCCCGTGCCGAATTAAAGTCCAGGCTTTTTGACATCATAGACAGCTGCTTTTTTAATAAAAATGGAACAAGTCTAAATTTACTTACCTTGTCATTGGTCATTTACAAAATCATTTTGTAAAAAAAAAAACTTTTGGACTATACATACAAGTACTCCGAAGTTAATATTAAAAAGATGCTTGAGTTTCTAATTGACAATATCTATGTAGTTTTTGGAGATCAAGTCTTCCAAAAATTCATATGGGTGACAATTGCGCCCAGTTATTTGAGACCTCTTTTGTACTCATATGAAGAAGACTTTATTCAGAAACTTACACATGAGGAGAAGAAGAAAGCACATGGTGTAGATAATGGTAAAATTTTGTGATTTGAAATTTTCTAAAAGTTCCTTGGTGTTTTTATGTATCCACTTCTGATGTACACCACTTCTCAAATATATTGTTTTACAGTACTCATGAAGTTTATCCTTCACTTTTTTAATATTTTAGTGAGGAGTAAAGAAGAACATTTTGTAAAGTTATAACATATATCCAGTTATTTTAAGATTTCACTGTTGGAAAAAATCTCGTAAATTGATTTGACCTAGCAGTAATTTGCGGACTTGCAACAGAGTAAGTGATTCTTTTTAATTCGACAAGAAGGTATGTATAAATAATGTTAAGGCTTTAGAAAATTAATATGAAAAGTAAGATTTTTTTTATTTGCCATATTTTTTGACACTTTTTTTTTTCTTTTCATGTGAGATTTTATGAGATCGTTCTTTACCTTTGTCCTGTTCGTTTATCCATGTGAGATTTTTCAAATAATAAGAAGGAGGATTTTCTGCAATAATCACTGCCTTAATGTTTATGCATATCTGTCATTTCTAATATGAAATATATCAATCTTCTCTAGTTTTATGACAATGATAGATGTGTGCACACTAATACCTTCAACATTTGAATAACAACCCCATTAGTTTCAATAAAATTTTTAAGTAATAAGAATCGTTAGAGTGTCATTGTGATGAATACATAGTACAAAGTCTGCGTCTTTTGAAAGCATTTATATATCAATGCTTCCTTGAACACTTTTTTTTACACAGTTTAGACAACAACTATACCCGTGCGCCCGAAATAAGTTCATTACCTCACTGAACAGTCTTAGGTGTTTGTAACACATATACTAAAAATGTCATCTCTATCGTCTCTTAGGTTTGTTGTTGGACATTTCAGCGGATTGACAGTATTTTTTATTTGCAGAAAAGTATGGAAATTTTAGCAGGATTCGAAAGAGGATGCGGTCCTTTTAGCAGAAAATTTAGTTAAATATATTCATTCTCTTCCGATGTCCAGTCTCCTGCTCACCAACAGGGAGATGGGAGTAGGATTATAAATGAGAATGGTCTAGAAAGACCTCTTAGTTCAAATACGAGCTTTGCCTTTTTTCATAGAAAATTTATTAGAAACATGGCCTTGTTTAGTATTCCATCATATCTACCGTGTTCTCGTATACCTCCCTGTATGAATATGAGTTGAGTTTTGTTCTTGCCTGTGCCTTTGAAGGCTCCGTTAGAGTTGATAATTTAGTAACTGATTGGTCAATATTTGCTGACTTTACCTTGACTATGTAAAAAGACTTAAACTTGCTTGTGAAAAAAAAATCCGCTAAAATGACCATGAATTGAATTTTTCCAGGTAATTGATTTTTCTTCCTCTAAAATGTCCTATAAATCTTCCGCTAAAATTTCCATTCACACCTTTACAATTCCGCTTAAAATATGTCTTTTGACCCTTAGGTTATCGACTAAAGAATGGACACCACCACCAATTCTATAAAGATGAAGGAATCAAATCGTTATTAAAGCTGAGAAAATCAGTCAAGGTGCAAAATTATCTGGTACTATCCATTATTTGGACAATAACCTATGAGGCAAAAGAGATGATATCATAATATATGTAGTAAAAACACTTCATCAAGGGAAAGAACTTATCGAAGGCGGTAGGTCATTTTACATAAGGCTCTAGAATAAAACCTATCTGTTTTGAACGGATTTTTCGCTCAAAATAGGTAAAATTAGTAAAGATTTGTCAAGGGATATTAAAATTTGGAAATGCAAGAAAATTATTAATAACATTTCTAAATCTACACATTTTTATTTAGGTTTTAACATCGAATTTCTTCTCTGGACCCTATGACAATAAAACAGAACCTGTCGGTGCTGCTAAGGGTTAAACAAATGACATCTTCTATTGATCCCAATTTTCCTTTTGAATAATGCTAATATTGTTCACTTTGCTATAACACTATAGTTTCTGTATCAATATCATAGTAAGTCTTTGTAAGGAGATTGGAGTGTTTATTCAAGACAGCATGGCATGTCATGGTTTACAAAATGGCGGCAAACGTGTAATCTCAGTCGCTTAGGTGCTGTACAAAATCAGACTCTACATGTATTTTACTGAGGCCGCTAATGTACATAATAAATGGGTACTATATTTAGCTATAATGTACATACACTGTAATATTGTTACATCTCCCTTTTTTTAAAAAAGAAACAAAAATCCTTTTATGGACCTAAACACTAGACAAGAATGAGAATACAAGATTATGCAATTTCAATAACAACAATATTATAAACTGACTAGTCTATGAAAATAATACTGAAACAGTTCATTACACATAATACACAGCCTGCACATAGTTCTCCAAATATTGTGGCGGCTTAACAATGCGTCCGGAACGAGTGGTACGCGGTTCCTCGAGCTTCAATGGAACATCTCGGCTCGGAACGACTATCGGTTTGTCAGGTAGAGTTCGATCACTTTCGGCGGTCTCGGATATTGGTCTAGGGCGCTTCCCACACAGAGCAGTCTGTCTGGAATTATCGACTGACTGTTCATTCGGAGTTGTGTAGTCAGGAATAACAGAAAAGTCATGTGGTTTCTCACGAGTGGCCTTAAGGTGAGAGCGGTTTCTCCTATAGGTACCGTCTTGTGTTTGTACACTATACGATCTTATTCCCTCTTTGCCGATGATCGTTCCTTTCTTCCACTCCTTTTCTCTCAGTTGTGATGGCTTCACGCGCACTGTGTCACCTGGTTGTGAATCGCGCAGGTCTTTTGCTGTACGGTTGTAATAGCGAGCTTGTCTGTCTTTTTCCTCCCTTATTTTCTTGATGTTATCTTTTTTACCACATGGTGATAGCAATGTTTCTTTCTGTGGCATCAATGTCTTTGTTCTGCGGTTCATTAGTCGCTGGCTTGGACTTTCTCCGATTCCTTGTGTTGGTGTATTTCTGAAGTCAAGTACCGCAATGCTGTTTTAACTTGCTGATCACGGTAGCTGAGGTGGTGGACTCCAGTCTGTCAATTTCAAAGAAATTGCTGTAGTAATCTACTGTGACGAGGTATTGGTCATCACTCACTGGTGATTGGAAAAGGTCTACTCCTACAACAGACCACGGCCGTTTTTGTAATCTCGTGCGAGATGAGAGTTTCTTTTTGCTGTGATGGTACATAAGTTCTGCAAGTTTCACACTTTGAGACAAGATCTTTGATCTCAGAGTTCATGGACGGCCAGTATACACAATCTCTAGCTCTACGAAGGCATCCTTCTGCTCCAATATGTGACTGGTGAAGCTTTCCCATAACTTCGGCACGTAATGCTTTCGGTATGACACAACGGGTACCACGGTAAACAATACCATCTTGGACGGATAGTTCGTCTCGCACATGAAAGTATAGGTGCACTTCAGCTGGTGCACTTTCCTTGTTCTTTGGCCATCCTTCTAGAATAGTCTGCTTAAGTAAGTCGTGTGTTTTGTCACTGGTCTGCTGTATCTTCAATATCCTTGCTTGTGAAATAGGTAAGTATTCCACCATGTTGGTATCTTCAAATACTTTGAATACTTCCTCTGTGCAGAGTCCTGTAGTCTGTCTCTTGGGATGCGCTCTGGACAGTGCGTCTGCCACATACATTTCTTTGCCAGGCTTGTATGTGATCTTAATTTCATATTTCTGGAGTCGTAAAAACATGCGTTTTAGACGCTTTGGAGCTGAAGCAAGTGGTTTCTTGTAAATAATTTCAAGGGGTTTGTGGTCGCTTTCCACAAGAACCTTACGGCCATAGGTGTATTGGTTGAATCGTTCCTTTCCAAATACGACAGCCAAAAGCTCCTTCTCAATCTGAGCATAATGTTGTTCTGTAGGCGTCAATGCTCTACTGGCATAAGCGACTGGTTGTCCCTGCTGTAAGAGAGATGCGCCAAGTCCTGTGCTTGATGCATCACACTGAAGTGTGGTTTCTTCTTTCGAGTCGAAGTATCGTAGAACGGGTGTTTGCGATATTGTCTCTTTAAGTTTACGAAACGCTTCTTCATGTTCATGCGTCCATTGCCAAACTACATCTCGGTGGACAAGGGACCGAATTGGTTCACACATATCACTCAATTTGTCCATGAACTTGGACAGATAGTTCACAAGTCCTAAGAACCTCTGCACGCCTGCAACATCCTTTGGGGTTTCAAATTCAATAATAGCCTGTACTTTACGAGGGTCAGGCTTGAGTCCACTGGGGGTTAGAACATGTCCAATGTATGGCATTTCCTTTAATCGCAGTTTGAACTTGTCTTTATTCAACTAGATTCCTTGCTCACGGCAACGGTTCAAAAAGCTGACAAGTTTCTGGTCATGGTCGCGTATGGCTTCTGCATCACTGTCTCCTTCTCCATAGATAAGGATATCATCAGCGACAGCTTTGACTCCTGGTAAGTTTTGTATGGCTAGTTCCAAACGATGCTGGAAAATCTCAGGCGCTGGAGAGATGCCAAAAGGTAGGCGGCGCCAACGATAACGTCCAAACGGAGTTTCAAAAGTTGTAAGGTAGCTGGACTGCTCGTCGAGCTCCACATGCCAGAAGCCATTCTTTACATCACACACAGTGAAAACACGAGCCTTTGCTAGATCAGGCAAGACGTCTTCTATCACAGGAAGAGGGTAGTGACTTCGACGGAGAGCCTTATTCAAAGGTTTTGGGTCGATGCAGATACGTAATTTTCCATTCGGTTTCTTGAATGCTAGTAGGCTAGACACCCAGTCTGTTGGCTTGTTGACAGCGTGAATGACCAGTAGTCCTTCTAGTCTTTTCAGCTCTTGTTGCAAAAGTGGCTTGATTGCAACTGGGACACGGCGTAAAGGAAGTTTCACAGGTGGGACAGTCTTGTCTATTTCTAGATGCACAGGTCCCTTAAAGCATCCATTTCCTGTAAAGATCTCTCCAGATTTCTTTGTAATTGTGTCCATATCAAGGTGACTGTTTGTGTTGGGGTTCTCAATAGCCATGATATTGTCATGTTGGACTGAAATCAAGTTCATTCGTTGACTTGTGTTTGAGCCCAAAATAGGGTGTAACCCACTGTTCACAACAACAAAGTTTTTTGGATTTGTAAGTGCCAACAGTCTTCATTTGCTGTCCATTGTAAACTTTCAATGTGTGATGCCCCTTCTGTATCTTCACATTTTTCGGCACAAGGTCATCTGTAATAACAGGTTGCAGGTAATTGCAGGTAGCCCCACAGTCAATTTGGAATTTTACAAGTTTCGCTTGAGAATTAATGTTCATTTGAGCAAACAGTTTTCTCGGGTGTTCCAAAGCGCTGGTAGCAGAAATCTGTTCTACTGTAAGGATTTCCTCATCAGAATCACATTGCTCATAATGATACAGTAAGTTCACTCTCTTATCCCGCTGTCGGCAAACCGCCTTAAAATGATTTTTCTTTCCACACCTTCCACAGGTTTTGCCCCATGCCGGGCATGATTGCTTATCCTTGGAATGTTGTTGCCCGCAGTAACAGCATGTATGAGTCTTTGTAGTATGTGGTTTAGGGTGTTTTCCTCCTCCTTTATGATCCTTATGCTTCACACCGTTTCTCGGTTTCGCTGATTTTTTCAATGTATGAATTTCATCCTGAGGGTTCATGGTCTTCACTTGTGCAGCTGTTTTTTCTGCTGCTCGACAGATGTCCACACATTTTTGAAGTGACAGTCCAGATTCTTGCAAAAGTTTTTTTCGTATAGTGTTGTCTTTGATTCCACACACAATTCTGTCGCGTATCATTTGGTCAGCTAACTGTCCAAACTCACAAGTCAGTGACAGCTTCCTCAACTTGGTAACATATGAATCTATGGTCTCTTCTGTTTCTTGATGCTTGTTGTTGAAAACATATCTCTCATATATAGTGTTTGTTTTTCCTACACAATACTCCTCCATGAGTTTTAATATGGTTTCTGGGTCATTCCTTTCATTTTCATCTTTAAACGGAAGTCCGTTGTAGATTTCGAGGCCTTCAGGGCCAATACACGTAATAAAAGTTGCTACCTGGTAAGCGTTGGCTTTGTCTGAAAGGCCCGTCACGATGACATAGGAATCCCATAGCTGTTTCCAACTTTTCCAATGCTGTGCGATATTCCCGGCCAACTCTAGTTTTGGCGGGAGCGGTATGTGGCTTTGCATGACCGATGCCGGCGCTGCTGCTTGATTCTCCATTCCGTAAAGGTATCTGATATATTCACTAAAGTCTCTGGGTTCACTACTCATTCCCTACAACTTGTATAATTTGCACTAACGTGGAACATGGACGTACTAGTGGAAGAAATTCGGTCCAGCACGTTTGCAGTCCAGAAACATTTATTTACTGTGAATTAACACACTATCACTCAATCACGTTAATTAAAACGAAGTTCGGTACTCACTTTACTTCTGACACCATGTATCAATATCATAGTAAGTCTTTGTAAGGAGATTGGAGTGTTTATTCAAGACAGCATGGCATGTCATTGTTTACAAAATGGCGGCAAACGTGTAATCTCAGTCGCTTAGGTGCTGTACAAAATCAGACTCTATTTTACTGAGGCCGCTAATGTACATAATAAATGGGTACTATATTTAGCTATAATGTACATACACTGTAATATTGTTACAGTTTCTAAACCGGAAGAATATTCATTTATTTATTTTACTAAGTGTCTTGTTCTTTATCTAGCAAGCACAAAGAAAGACAACTCTTTGTGCACTTCATTTTCAGAAAGCAATTCTCCGTTATAACGATTTTTTTAACTTTGAATTTCATGAAAATTAAATCAAATTGTTTTTGTTAAAGGGGTTAGGACACAGATTTGAAGCTCATATTTTCTAAAATTTTCTAAATAATATCATGACATACATTGCTAGAGCATTTCCCACCGAAATATATGAAAAGTTTGTTAAGAAAATTCTTTTATCTGAAAATAATTAAAACTATGATTTTCGGGACGCGTTTGATTGACACATATCCTTGCACTTTCACAAAGTAAACTATATCCATAATACTTAATTGTCATTGAATTCTTAGAATATTCATGTAAGTTCAAATCATTAAACTTAATCATTTTTGAATAAAACTAGACATTAAAATTGTAAACAAAACAACTGAGTCCTGGTCACTTTAAACCTTCTGATGGAGTTTGGTGCTCTGAGTTTAGTAGTTTATGTGTGTTTCGACATTAAAATAAACATTTAGTCTCAGGAAACATAGGTTCTTTATAAAATTGTCGCTCTTATAAAATATAAATTATTCATGTCTTTATCTTATTTCCTTTTATCAATAATTTCATTTTAATTTCTTTGTCAAATTTCAACATTCTGCAAATATGGACTTTCACCTAATTTGCTTAATAAAAAATTTGTTGGAAAAAATATACACAAGTTAAATTTCTAAAAGATACTTCAGAGTCATTGCAATTAAATTTCTCCCTCAAGCGATCGATTCAAAATGATCTATTGATTAATAAAGAAATGCTTTCTTCAAAATTTGATAGGTCTTACAGAAATGTACTTCCTTGTACCTAAATCAAAACTACAATTATAATAACGATCGTTCCAATAATTTATTTAATATTTTGATACTCTAAAATGATTCTCTGGCTGTTGATCTATGTTTTTAACACGTTTCTTTGGAAACAGCTATATGAAATATTTTTATTTTTCGTGCTAAAGAGAAAAAATACATAGTTGAAAGCAATAAAGTTAAATAACATTTATGATGATACGCTAGTGAAGCATCATATCGTACAGCATATAAATTCTTTGAGGATCTTGTAACACTATTGATATGTTTTGTAAGAATCCTAGGACCCAAGCATATGTTTTTTGTTACTACCATTGCTGTTTTAGTGTAGATCAACCCGAGACCTTGGTTGTCATCATACTTGTAGCATGTTGCAAGTGAATTATCCAATACAGACTTACTCTTGATTTAGAAAGCTACCTTACTTTAAACCTTAATCAGAAATATGGAGATAACGAACAGTATTCAAGTATAAAGTACATTTAGACAAAACAAATCGTGAGCCGAGCAAACACGGACCCCCGAGGTGCATAATCTTTATGCAAAATGTATGAAATATGGAGATAACGAACAGTAATCAAAGTCGTAGTCCATTGAAAAAATACAAATTTAAAGCAGAGCAAACACGAACCTCCAAAAACCTCAGAGGTGGGATCAGGTGCTATGGAAGAAAGAGCATCCCTTGCCGACCGGTCACACTCGAAGTGTGCTCCTTGTTTTGATTGGGTAAAACAGAAAAACCCGTCGACAATTCAGTGTGTAAATAATGGCCTAACGATTTGTATGAAAACCTTCAGTCAGCATTTGACTTAATGATGGGTTGTATTTGCTGACAAGGTCATTGTATCGACCATAAAATTTGGGTAATGATGACTTCAAATTAGACTGTTGATATCCTTGCTTCATCAACTTGTTTGTCAATAGCTTGCATCGTTTTAGAAAATGTTCGTAAGTAGGGCATGCTCTTGCGTATCGAATCAACTGGGAGACAAAAACCCCATATGCAGGTGATAGGAGTATATTGCTACATAAGTAAGGGAAGTTGACGATTGGAATATTTAAGTCATCACGTTTATCATAAAGCTTTGTTGTAAGGTACCATTAAAGTCTTTTTCTAGCATATTATCCAAATATGAAACAGATATGTCAGACTCTGTGGTATCTTTTATTTCAAGCTCGTCGTCCGCGTGGCGCAGTGGTTAGAGCGTCTGCTCTAGAGTTCGCAGTAAGGAATTGATCCTTGCGTCGCGGGTTCGAATCTCAGTGCGGGACATGGAGATTGGTCCTTCGGATGAGACCGTATAAAATCCCATGTCGCAGTAGGTGCTGGCACGAAAAAGATCCCTCACTGCTCAATGGCCTTGACTGCCGAGTTTATGTCAATATTTGTAGCCCTCCACCAACCAAGTGGTTTCGTCTCCATATAAGTGAAAAATTCTCGAGAGGGACGTTAAACAACAAACAAACAAGAAAATTTATTTCAAGCTCACTGGGATATTTCGAGTCGACTTATGAATGGAAATAACTATTGTTAATTGATAATACGTCGTCGATATATTTAATTGTCGAGTTGAAGGTCAGATCAAATGTTTTCTTCTACTATTGTAGAAGTTTTTGAATAAAATTTCTTCATATGAACACAAAAATAGGTCTGCTAATAAGGGGGCACAATTGGTACCCATGGAAATTCCAATAGATTGTTGAAAGACGATCTCCAAGAAACACATAGACATTGTCAATTAGAAACTAAGGCATCTTTTTTTATATCAACTTCAGAGTACTTGTGTTTACAATCAGAATGCTTTTTTAACAGAATAATTGTCCTAATGACCAATGACAAGGTAAGTATATTTACGACTTTCATATTTATTGAAAAAGCAGCAGTCTATGATGTCAAAAACCCTGGACTTTACTTTATCGTGGAGAATGGTACTCGTGAAGTTTCTCCTTCACTGCTGTAAATATTTGAGTGAGGAGTATAAAAAGGCTTGGTAGAACATTTACTGGAACACGCTATGTATCTTTGTAGGGATTTTTATGGAGTTTTGGAATCCAGTATAGGTATGGTAATTCAAATTCATTTTGATTGTTGGGAATATTAAAAATATTTAAAACTGACATATGGCTTTAAAGAATTTCCTCCTTAGATAGAAAGCTATGAGTATAAGTTGGATTACCACTTGCAGAATTAAATCCTATTTCCTCTAAAATACAATTCAAATAATGAGCCTTACGAACAAAGACTATGTCGTTACCTGTTTTGTCAGTGGGGACCAGTACATACTGATCGTGTAATCTATCTTATTCTTCTTTCATAATTTGATAATTCACGTTAAAGTTTTTTTCTCCTTTCTTTAATTAAGCCATGTCAATACAAATCTTTTTAAAGTATTTTTGTTTTGTATTTAATCGCTTTAAAAGAAGACATTAAATAAACTAGAAAAAAATGTTAACGAG